GAGTTTGAACAAATATGGACAAGCAGCGACACACTGCGATTCCACTTCACAAAGGTTAAGTGATAAAATTAATGCTGTGAAAAAGCTCCATAGCAAGCGTTCACATTAAAAGCCAACATGTGTTATCAAGGCTATAAACACCTGTGATCACTAGGGAAGGAAGTTTGAGGAGAAGGAAATCCCTGCAGGTTACTCACAGCATTCAGCTGTATACTCAGCTTCATTCTAATCTTTATCACTTGCTCCTGCCCAAAGTATCAATATTCCTCACTCTAAAGACAAAGGGCTGAGGGTTATTTAATAGAAGACGGATTTCAGATTCTTACTTGGTAATTTTTAGTTATGAGCAATTGGTTCAGCCGTAAAGCCAGGAAAATAGTTGATCACTAAGGCGGTAAGCACCCAGCAGGGATGCTGCTGCAGACACACATCCAGCAACATCCCCAGGCTCGGGTCACCCCTGCACCGATTTGGGATGAAGATTGCAGCACAAGATCCAGGCTCGATTTTCCTTTCATCTCAGCCATCCCCAGATTGCAGACTGAGATTGCGGCTGCGGCCAGCTCCCTGCTCACCCACACTGTGCTTCAATGCCCTCCCTTGTCCGCAGCCAGGCGATGCCTCTCAGTCTGTTCGGCACAAAGCCTGGCACCTGCAGAGTGCTGGGCAATGCCTGAGGATGGCTGGGCACAGGGCAACATCTGCATCCTGTGCAGGGACCTGTTGTGTAAAACGAAAACTGCTCTTTCCCACCGTCAGAGCTGATACCGTGCATCATGTCTGCAGTGCGCTGGGAAGTGCTGGCTGATCTGCAGGAATGGCCGCTTTCATTTGAGCACCTCGTTTATCCCAGTGCCCAGCCCCTGTCTGAATTAATAAAGATAAAAGCGCAATCGTATCGGTATCAGGCAACGCTTGAGAAATAAAAGGCACGGCTCAGTTTACACCACGCATCCCTCAGGGATGAGAGTCTGTCTGCAGTGAATGAGCTCGGCTAGAAAGGCTGTCCACAAATAATAAAAATGATCAACTCCTTAGAGTTATCTTATCCAGTCATCTTCTGGGAAACATTGGGATCAGATATACCCTACCTGAGTTATTTTATTTGGCAAATAAGCACTTTAGGCAAGATTTTCAGGAGGCAAATAGGAAATGAGAGTTGGAAAACATTAATTAAATGTGAATACAACAGCTTAATGGGTTTTATCTTCAGATGAACTGGAGATGACTCTTTGCCATTCACTTCATCAAACTGCAAGCAGAGATAAATGAAATGTAGCAAGAAAAGGCGACCAGGGAAAAGGTGAAAGATGTGGCAGGTTGACAAGACCAATGTAATTTGATTTGTATTCAGGATGGATCAGTTCACAAATTCTACATATTGCTGCCAAACCTCTGCATATTCGAGTAAAAGAATACTTGATTCTTGCAGTAGCAGCTTTTAAAAATAAAGCCATGCTGTTTGAATGCCCTTTTACACATGGCCTTTTTCTACAGGCTTTGTAGAGCTTTCTCTCCATAGAGGAGTTTTCCTCATGTTCCATTGACAAGGATTCTGAAAATTGTCAGATATGTCCAGAAAGCTCAGCATCAAGTGCTCATCCTACATGTGGAGCACACGCTATATATCCATGGTGCACTGCTATTTCTGTCTAGAATTAAAGCTGCATAACATGTAGGGCCTCATGACATTCTGAACATTTGGCTTCTTGCTCTCTTCGTTAGAAATGGCCAAGAAATACCACAGATACTCTTGTTTGGGTTGGATTGGTTTAGTTTGGTTGTTTTTTTTTTAATTTGCTTTGTTGTTGTATAATTAATGGAAAGTAATCTAAGAACGTGCTTGCGGGTTACTTGAAATGTGCGTGGATTTAAACCAATTCTTGTCTGTGGTTTTCATTACTATCACTAAAGGGAGAAGGTTTTCAATAACGCCCACTTTTAAACTGCCAGCTGTGCAGTTCCACCTTCATACTGAGTTAGAATTTGCTGACGCAAAGCTACAGCCCATTCTCACACAGCACTGCGTCCCCTGGCAGGCACAGCACCATCTCCCCCACCAGTGCAAGAAGTGCAGTTGGGGATAGTTATCTATAGATGGCAATCTTCTTCTTAGCAGAGAGCTGAGGTGAAACCCATCTGCTGCTCTTCTGGAATTAAAAATAAAGCACCGTTATGTACAGATATAGACCAGTACAGAAAAGCAGTCCTTTACAGTGGGATTGTACAGGATGCATTGCAACTGGGCTTCAGGCTTGTATTCAGCCTGGAGGTGCTGCTTTACAATTAAAAAATATTTTAATACAATTAAAAAATATTTTACAAACATTGGAATTTATTAATGTCTGCTCAACTGCCCAGCTATGATAACATGTGAAAGGCTTCACTGAGTTCTGCACTGAAGGGAAGAGCATCAGCTTTGTGTGTTATGGCAGAATATTGTGCCTCACACTTGACACTTTTTTAAAAAAACCACACCAATTATGCTATTTTTGTTTTGCTTTAAATCTATATTCCTTATGGTTCTGTTAGATAGTTAGGACTATTTCTCTGGAAGGCGTGGTGGAGAACTAAAGAGTGCTCTGGCATTCACTCCTCTGCTCCTCAGATTAAGGCTATTTAAGAGAAAATGGAGGGAACGAAACAGAAATAGCGTCCAAGGAGGGGATGTTTTGCACCTCTCTGTGGGGATCAAACACCATAGAATGGATGGTGATTATCCTAAACCTTGAGTGTCCAACTTTTTGGCTCCATCACATTGAGTGAAGAGAAATCGTCTTTGGCTACATGTAAAATATACAGTGTAGTATATTGTATAAACATATACATATATATTTAAGAAAACATAGAAAAAAAGAGAGCAATAAGGACTTAAAACTAGCAGCTTGGGCACATATGTTCTACACCCACTCCATTTGCTCAAGAAAAGAGTCTGAATGTTTTCAACACGTCTACATGAAGACCATAAGCAGTTGGCCATCACTGTGGACTCGGTGGGGAAAGGTGGTTGATGTTCAACCAAGGCACCTGTTCTCAAGGGGGTCTACAAAGAGAGACGCTGAGCCAACTGCCACAAGTACCACACTCAAGGGATAATATTGAGGAATTAATGTTATATCAAAGGCTATGCTGCAGCATTAATATGTTTAATAGACACGTCACATGCACCTCAAAGAGATTTTGATATGTATTTGAGATTGCTATGGCCTTCATTTAGTTCTGTCCCTGTGCTAACACTGATAGATATCAAATAACCTCCTCTGACAATGGAGGATATTGTTGTGTTATAATATGTTATTGTAAATACTGTGTTATTGCTGGAAGCACCTTCCAATGAAGCCCCCTTTGGCCGGGAGTCTGGGGATACAAAATATTGATGCTGTCAGTTATCCAGAAGCTGAGTAATTAAATACACAAAAGTCTGGGCAGATACAAAGTTCTCACACACGGTAAAGCTGGCAGAGGCAAGACTCAAAGCACAAAAAGCCCCTTTGCTCCAAGTGCACAGCAGTTTCAACTCGCTCTACGCAAACTGTGATGCTCTGCTGTCTGTTTTGAAGCAAGTCCCAGAGAAGTCCCTCTGCGTTGAATTCACCAGTGAGCACCTTCTGGTCCCACTTCCGATAAGTTGCAAAATCTAAAACTCCTCATTAAATGCCAGATAATTTGACTGCCCTGAGGGCAGGATGGGTGAATGGGATATGTGAGCTTGAGTCCAGTTTCTTATAATTAACGAGGTCTGAATAAGCAGAACCAATCCAGCCTGAGCGTGAATAAAATTACTGCACCTAGCAAAGTTCAAACAAGGAATATGTGAACTGTAAAGTAGTTAAGCACAAATCAAGATGCTGAGTTTCTGCAGCAACTGTTCCGAGCTCTGAAGTCTGGAGCTTAGTTCATCTCTTTTTTTCCCAAAGGCTTAAGATTTAGAGAATACCAACTTTCCAGGGCCCCAATTCCAAAAGGTTTACGAAACGCTTAATTTTGGGGGACCTAAATAGTTATGTCAGTTCTCATTTCTACATGGAGAAATCATCCGCATTTTTATTTCATATTTATTGGTCAAGGGAAATTTCACTTTTTGCAGCTTTTTATATTTTTCCTGGTGTTCAAGCGTTGACATGAGGTATAATTACATCTCAGAAAAAAAAAATATCGAACCAGAATAGGGGATTTAAAGGAGGCTTTCTGTAAGCTGCAGTTAAATTCATGTGTTGTCAGAAAGCAGAAATATTGGTTGAACCGTTGCTCAGGGGAAAAGCCAAAAGTAACACAAGCGCATCTTTAAAGTAGTCACATTTTCTCTGAAAAGCAGTTTCTCAGGAGACTGTGGTCAACTTCAAGGGTGCCTTTATCAGACATTCCAGGGGAAAAAAACAGGAAGAAGAGCTGAGTGCTGCAGGTAACACAATAGGGGTCTGCAGCAGTCACAGGAGTATCAGTTACAATAAACCAAGCTGTGCAACAAGGAGATTAAGACGTGGATTACCGACCACTTACTATGTGACATAAAGAAAAGAATAGCTTCAGATGCCAGTTTGACTTAATCTGGTACTGGCGTTCTTTCCTGGAAAGGATTAATGGGCACGGTGGTTTTTTTTCTGCTGAGGCATTTTTAAAGGGTTTGTGATAATAAAGATTGAGAGGAGCAACAAGTAATGACAGAATCTTCAGCATGAACTATTAAGGGATTTGATAACTAATTAGCCATTTCTAAGTCAAACCAAACGGCCATCAGCTGCGTGCCTTGCTTAATTAAGGAAACATTGTATTCCAATGGAAATTAGCTGTGGTGGTGATATGAGGCCTTGAATCAATTTCTGTAAACGTGAATACAGCTCAAAATGCACATTGATTGTAAGCGTGGGTGTATGAGAGTTGTTCATAGAATGGCCTGGGTTGAAAACATCCAGAATGATCATCTGGTTTCAACCCCCCCCCTGCTGTGAGCAGGGTCGCCAACCAGCAAACCAGGCTGGTTTGTGTCCAGAGCCACATCCAGCCTGGCCTTGAATGCCTCCAAGGATGGGGCATCCACATTTTCCTTTTGTGTGGGTTGGTGATGCCATCATGCTTTCCAGGCATTTCTCTCCAGTCTTCCACTCTTCTCTCTGACATGATCTTCATGCAGATACACAGTATAACTGAAACACCCCACTGCTTCCTTTCTCTTCCTGGTGTGTATCTTCACAGCTTACATCCTGAGAAAATAAGAATTGCCAAAGAGTAAGTGGTCCATGTGGCATTTTCCAGCCAAGACTGAGAAGCACACAAGCAGGGACACCAGCTGCAGAGAGTCTTCCTGCTAACACACTTTTAAACGGTGTATAAAGAAGAACATTTACAAGTGGAGAGAGGAAAATAAAGAGGGAAGGGGAAGAGGTGAGAGTCTTACAGGTGCTCATTCAAAATCTCAGATGTGGCTCCAAGCAGCTCAGCTAACACCAAGGGGTGCAGCTCCAGGACCAGAACACCAGGCTACTCATCTGTTGGAACACGTCCCATTCCCATGGCTCTTCCTTCTTTCAATCTGCTGATATATCCTCTTAACCGATGAAAGGTGGCATTTTTCTCAAAATTGAACCTTCTCCAGTCAGTTTAATATTGCTCTTCACTGTACATCAATGTATGTTAGTACATCATTCCACATTTACTTGAATAAAAATAAAAAAAAAAAATTCTATTTGATTTTTTTGTGAAGTAAAACCAGTGAGTAGGTTTACTTATAAATTCGTTTCTGAGTTTTAGTCAATCATAAATTCCAACCACTGCTGCAAAAGAAAATCACCTTTATTTAAATACAAGCCAGGAAGCGAACATCAAAGAGAACTCTTAGAGAAACCTTCCTCCATTGGTATCTGCAATACAGAGATTTTATACAGCTCAGGTACTCTGTGTTCATGCCCACCCTCAGCTATGTATTTGGGACTCCTGTCCACCCACTGTAGTTCACTCACATTCCAGAGCAGCTGACTATTGCTGGCTGCTCCATGGGTTTTCCTCATTGCTTTTTCTCCAGTGATGAAAACAGGGGCAAGATAGTGACAGCATCCCCAGCTTAAGTTCCTATCTTGGCTTTCACCCAGTTTCAGCCTGTAGAAATCAAAAGTCTAAGAACACATTAATCAGATTTCTCAACAAAGAAAACCTAGGCTTGAAACCTTGTAAGCCTTCAGATGCATTTTTCTGACCAGAAAGATGCATTTTTCTGACCAGAAAGATGCATTTGTAGAGGTTGGGTTGCAGGTGATGCCATGTGGGACCAGCCTGGGTCTACTGGGATCAACTGAAAAACAATCATTAACTTCCACAGATTTTGATTAGCCATTAGATAGGATGAGTAAAGTTACACTAGTCCTAGAAATACTTCCTTCCAGTCTGTTTCCTGTTATTTCCATCCTAATTTAAAATTATTTTCTATCATAAAAAAAAAACAAAAAAAAAAAAAACAGAAAATCTTATTTTGAAGTATTACAATCAGAAAGATCTGCACAGTGGAAGGGTAATACAGGAGCGTAACAACAAAGGGACTAGTACGAATAGAGAGTTATAAAGGAAAAGTGCTCACCCAACTCAGAAGATCTAGACTTGCGAGGAAAACAACACAAGGGAGAAATCCCCAACAGGAGATCGTTCCCCACTGCCATTCAGCCCTTAAATGAGGTCTAAGAGAGGTGCAGCCAGGCTCCATCTCTTCTGGTCACACAGCTGAATTGCCTTCACCTGTCCTCCCAGGGCTGACCAGGCCCTTTCTGCAGGTGCTCAATCAGTGGTTCAGGCTGTGACTCAACAGTTACCATATGTGAGGCATACAAAATATCTATCCTCATTTTCCATAAGCATAAATATCTCTCCTTTCAGCTCTCTGCTATGCAGTAGGTCTGCCTGCTGGAAGATTAAGTGTGAAATGCTGTTTAATTTTTGAAATACAAAATTGAGATGAGCTTCATTTAGTTTTGACTATCAGAAATATTCTCAACCTGAAGGCAAAACACAAGAAGATTTCTTTGCAAAGCAGATTTCAACTGTGGGCATTTGTGGCTCAGCTAAGAAGTTTCTTATCATCCCAGAAACCAAATTCCTAACAGACATGCTCAGCCATAAACACAGAAAGAGTCCTGCTGCCTGAAATTCCAGTCATAAAAAAGGATGACTCTCAGTTGTTTCTCGCTATATTTCGCTTACTTGGGCAGGATGCATTCTCCTCACTCAGATTTCACATTTAAAATGTCTTTCTCCACAGATTAGGAGTTGTCAGGGCAAATCCTTAGCAATGATGATTACGAAGGCTACTATTTTACACTATCTAAAGATCATGCCCAGCAAATACATAGTGATGCTAACAGGCAATGGAATAAATATATTCTCAAACCTGAAAGCCTGGAGAACAGTTATGCGTTCATATTTAAATGTGTAGTCTTTAGGTTTAAAGCTTGCATTTCTTTCACAACATAATTTTTTGCTAAAACCATTTCCCAGGAACTCTTTTGATTTTTGGTGAAAGGTAAAAGAGCTCAACTTTCTTCAGTTACAGCTGGAGTACCTTAAAATTAACTAGTTGAAACTGCTTTGATTATAACAGTGGTTACCATGATGTCAAATTTTAGAAGCAAAGGCGTTTTAACACTTGTGTCAAGGACAACTCTTGGGCATTAGAGCAGTTTCTAAGGGGAGGTAATCTGTTCAACCCGTCCACACACATCTACACCTGCACAATGGCTGAGCTTATCCACACTAGTCCATCCATATGGAGTAATGGAAAGAAGGAGCATCGGTGAGGAGATACTTGTATGTCCACTCACGTGGTCACTGCAGTGCTGGATGAACTGCTCCTGAGTTCACCCCAACCACACACTTTGCCTTAGGGAGCTTATGGCCGACTGCAGGAGATGGGAATGGCCCCAGCAGGATCGTAGCGTGGGAGATCTGCCACTCATCGCTGTGCCACTGTACAATTTGTAAATAACACAACCAAAGGCTGGGGTTTTTTTTCTCCTACCCGCTACACAGGTGGTTGGATTTTCACCAGACCATTTATGATCAAAATTAAAACCTGCAATTTGGTCAGTTCATAAATATGCTCCACCACACTCCACTGTGACCTTTAGAAATGCCAGTGTTAACTGGAGCACTCAGGGACATCTGAAGGATATTTGTTTTCATGGGCCAACGTGCAAAAGAGCTCGCCTTCATTTTTAGCATTTTCCCCAATATACACATGCGAACCAGCCCAGATCTCATCACATGTAATTGAAAATGTACAGTTTTGTGCTTCCATGCTGAAGGGAACAAGCCAAACAACAAGCTCCTGTTCGGGGCCGATTCGGAGAGCAGCTCGGCGGTGTCTCGCTGGCTGCTCACTAACAAACCCTCCATTCATTGCAGTTCCATGCAGCTGAGCTGTTTCCACCTGAGCCAGCGTTACAGACCTTTAATCAAACAAATGTACAAGGAAGCTCAACTACTTAACTGCTGTGCTTGTTCTGTGGGCTGAGATAGCCAAATACAACAGAAAGAATTTTACCCCGCTTGAGACGAGTGCATTTCCTTGCCGTTGTTCCCAACAAAGGGCAGCAGGTACAAATGGCCCACTATCTGTGTCACTGAGAAGTGGAGAGCAATTTGTTTCTATTAAACAGGATGCTTCTATTTTTTATTCTGTTGGCTTAGCCTCTCTGCAGCCTGTGCCAATCATGGTTTTAATCTGAACTGCCCTTGACCGTTCCTGCTATGCCACAGAAGAATTCTCTCTTTCCACCAACCCACCCCCTCCCTTCCCCGTCGTCTTGTACAGGTAATTGTGAGAAAGCAAGTGAAAGCCCTGGGGTATTGGATTCAAAACACAATCCTGCCATTCTCAGGAGCGTACAAAGAATAAACTTGAATGCGACATTGAGTCCTTGCAGACTGCACCTGCTGGTGAGCTCCAGTTCATGGTGGGGTCACGGCAGGCCCCGTTGCTCTGGTGGCAGGAGAGCTCCTATGTTTTTGGTTCACAGTGAGATTAGATCTACAATGTTTGACCCGTCTAATTTATTTTTTGTTTGATGAAGCAAGGAGAGCCCAGCGCACTGTTAAATGCCTTCCTACTTCTTCCCTGGAGAATGCTGCTGGTGTCTTTCCCCTGACGTGGTGGTGTTTGGAAAGGCTGTAGATTGGAGTTGATGTAATTTAATGTTGTATCCATGTACAACACAAAACTTTTTTGCCTCTACAGATTGATCTGTGTCTTCTTTCCATGGGAGCGTAAGAGGAAAGGCCCACAGAACTATCCCAGGTGCAAGTTCTGGTTCGTGTGTTTGGGTTTCTGTGGGTTTCAGTTTGGGTTGTCTTTCATATAACTTCCTTTGGATTTGGAACCTGTCCTTAGCGCTGCTAAGAGGGAATTTGCTCACTTCTGTTTCATTACCCTCTCTGAATTTCACGATGTCCATGCTTTGTTGCTGGGATCCACGGATACACTTTAATGACATTTCTGCGATATTTTCCGGCCTCCTTGCACCCGTAGCTGACTGGTTTTCTTCTGTTGACATTCATCAGATAAACTTCCTAAACAATTTCACAGGCTAACACTGAGATGTAAATACATTTGAGTGCTCAGGCTTCGCAGGTTTGAGGCATTCACTGCTCCCTTTTGGAAGGAGAACATGTAACAGAATTAGGAACTGCATTTTGACTAAACACCAAAAAATTCCAATGTTTTTCATTTTGGTCTGGAAGTCTCATAACAGAACAAATCTCCTGGCTGTAAGCCCCTGGGAAACTGGAATTGCAGCTACTCTTTCTGCACCGTATTATATCTGATGCTGAGATAAAATCAGAGGCCTCTGACATAAAATCAGGCTTTTGTGAAGGGCTGCTGTTGAACAACTTCTTACCTTTAAAAATACTGTGGAAGGAGATGTTCCCATCTGAATTTTTTAGGGAAAAATTCAGGTTCGTTATAATTTTTTCAGAGTATTTTTGTCTATCCCTAAGGCAAGAGATAAATGAAGTGTGATAGTCCTTTGGAGAGCTTAGGAACTATTTGTGGTGAATAATTTATTCGACAAATTTCGCCCTTATTTCAGTTCATGAATTATCTGTGAACTGACTTGTACTTTCACGAATTTATTCATAATTCAAAATTATTCAAGAAATGTTTCTGCGCAAACATATTTCTCTGCACAGTTTGCTTATGAGCAGATTATTGATCTAACTATTTATTATCTGCAGTGTATTGCTTGGAGTGTGAGGGGAAATTATTCTTTTTCAAAGGCCCTGTAACGCATCTGTAAACTCAATTTGAAAGGTTTTAGAAGGGATAATCTTTCTGTTTGTTGCCTTCGTGGGATCTGATTTTTTTGGTCATAATTAGCAGCCCCAGCTTCTCTTTAAGTGGATGTTTGAAACTGATTTAAGTAAACTGGCTCACAACATAGGTTGTGAGGCCAGCCAAAGAAATATTGACTGTATTGATTGCTCTTTCATCTATTTCCAACATACAGAATAGGTATTTCCCTGTGTCTGTCTAGATTTTAGGTGTATAGACATACAGTAATCAAAAGCTCTTTTTAATCTATGGTCAAGCATTAGATCTTGTTCTATGAAAAAAAAAAAAGTATTAAAAAGGAAAATGGAAAGAACTATTTTCCTCTAACTTCACCTTAGTTTTCTATGGATCTAATGCCTTGATTTAATTTGATGCAATTACAATAAAAGATGCAATCTAAGGCAAGCAAATGAATTTTGTGTCAAGAGTGAAATACAATCTGTTAAAATTGGTTTGAAAATACAATTTTAGGTCTAGTACAGCAAGTCCTGACATTTCAGATTAATCTGTCCTATAACAAAATTAATGACACTCAAAGTTGTTTAAGAATGGCTGTTAACTATTCTTACCCTATTCATCACCAGCTCTATCAGTCTAATCCAAGGAGTCACCAGGCTATTAAGTACAGTACATCGGCTCCGTTTAAGGACATTCAGATTGTGATTGTTTGAGGGATCACATTCCTAGCAGTAAGAATACGAGCAACGACGGTAAATAATGAGGGAAATCCCTCTGGAAGTTTGTCAATGTGATGCCTGTACATTTCTGTCACCACTACTCTCTGCTAAAGAAATGTTAAAAATTAGGGATCATTTCTGACAGGCAGGCGGTGTGGGCAGCTATCTGGATGATCCTAAGCTTTTATGGCTTCAGGTGGCACAAGATATCTCACGACAGAGGCTTTGTCCAGAAAACCTGAAGATTATTTCTCCAGCCATGTAAAAACCATACAAAAGCCATGTCAAAGGCAGCAAAAGCAAGATTCCTGCCTCTGTCCCACCTTTGTCCAGGTTGGACGTGGAAGAAGACTTCAACCTGATGGCAAGGCCACGTGCTTGTCCATTACACCCTGCTTTGCTCCTTTAGTTACTCTCAAACACACCACAGCAGTGGTAATTTGGGCCACAGGAAGCTTTTTAAGCAGTTACAACAGTGCTCTATGTGCTCATCTGCTGAACTGAAATGGAGGGGATCCAGAATGAATCTTGTTCTCTGCTTTCTATTCTTGCTTTTTTTCTTAACTAAGAATGAAAATAATGACATATTCAACTTTTTTGTAAAGTGGGTTTACATGAGCCATACTGGTTTAGGGATACTGTTATTGTATGCTC